GTTGTCTCAATGAAATGCAAGCCTAACAAAGTCGTGATATTTGCCTAATATCTTGAAAATTTAAAAGGTGTCGAGAGCAATAATCCACACAAACGACGAGACAATGCATTAATTTATACTTACATGCACGTGCTGCTATATTCGTTTTTTTGTGCACTTAACAGTTCCATCATCAAAAGACAGCGATGAACAAAAAACGTCTAAAACCAAGTTCGATTACTTTGATAATTTGCTTTGTTATCTTTTATCTATCCATAATTTTCTTTGTTGTTCATTACACAAATCGGTTTTATGATTTTATGGAGAGCTCATATGTATTTTAATTTAATCACTTCTAAGATTGCCTGATTGATGATATATCGTAATTGTTCAGACATAAGCATAGTAAGGAGTAAGGGGTTACGAAGCTTTAATCAACTTATTTGACACTAAAAAATAAAGAACATGTATATAAATACCCTTGCATGTCGGTATAATACCATCCCATTCTTCACTTTCCTGGCATTTCAAAACTGCCTTTCCCGTCAAATCGTATCCATCGTCACAAGTAAAACTTAAACAATTAAAATCAAGAAAATATTAAAAATCGAAATATTTATTTTTGGATACAAAGCAAAACTATGGCCTATTTTGTTAGGTAGTTATGTAATATTTAACTGAAATAATACTGTTTCTGTTACTTACCTACAAGTACTATCATAACCAAGATCAGCGGGGTCACAATAATTGTTCCAGGTTGATTGCTAAAATCGAGAGCGACGCACTTGATTTCTGATAAAGTAAAGAATATTCAAGTATATATTGAGATGTTTCACACGGAATATCTTTGTAAAAATTGATTTAAATAAAAAAAAAATGGTGTTGTGATTCAGTACTATAGGGGATTTACGTAGCCTCCTAACTCTGTGTGTTCACACTCCCGTGGGCACATGTTCACTAAATGCCGTAAGTACTTCTAGTTGTGTGGCACAAACATTTTTGCATATGTTATTCCTAACCCCCACCTGGCTACGTCATCCAAAGATTACGTCACTACGACGTCACAATCACGCCATAGAGCTTGCCAAAAAGGGTACAATTGCTCGAAATGGCATCTCCGCTGACGATAACGCACTCGTTCGCTAACGCTAGCGATCTCTCTTATATCGGGATCGTTACGCGGGACAACGAGAGAAATAGCTTGCTTGATTTCGAGTGTTCGTCTGCACACTTTGTACGATGATTCGTATACTTTGACAAACCTTATTTTGTCACTGTGACGTTGAGATGATTTGATTTTTGGATGACGTAATCAGGTGGAGCTTAGAAATGACATATGCGAAAATGGTTATGCCACGCCAACTAGAACTACTTGACGGCGTTTAGTGAACTATCCCCGTATATTATAATGCCAGATGTCCGCAAAATTGTAAATTTGCACAATCGAATTGAATCCAAACTGATATATTGAAATATACAATTGAACCTCATTAATACAGTTAGTTATACGGTCGAAACTCAAAAACATTAATTCACACAAAACTTGAAAAATCTTATATTTTAACTCCCGGACGTAAACCCGGAAACACGTAGCAAATTGCTCGATACAATAAACGTATTGCCCAGGCTTTTCGCTTCTCGCGATAAGTCTTTACCAAGGAAATTGAGCACTGAATATTGAACTTAAATACTATTGATACAAATGGGTTAAATAACATTATAGTCCATAGTTATATCCACATTCGCTACACTACAAAATTTGGTATAACAACAATGCACTCAGAAAACTGGATATCAACCCACTAATACCTAATATAAAGTTTTTGATTTTAGAAAATTGCAATGCAAGATTATTTAAATTAAAACCAGGCTTACTAGAGCATTCCAGAGAAGGTTGGCTCCATTCTCCATTGAAGATACATTCCGAATTTGATTGCTTTGGTTTGTAACCCACGTAACACACGACACTGAGTACAAAAAAGTATTATTATATTTTGTCTAATTATTCATCCAAAATTTTAGTTCTAGTACGCAGTGAGATGCCCAATACTTTTCTATTTTTTCAAAGAAATATCGACATAGTTACATAAATAGACCTAATCATAGAAGCGGTATGATTCTTTCACCAATATAAAATTGAATATGCTAAATATGTATAGATTGTCTTGCAAAATTTCTGGCATAATTAATTCCAATGTCTAAATAAAGGATCATCATTAAGAAGAGTAAAACGATATTATTAAGGAAGACACGTACTGAAAGTGCATATTATAAAATTTTGAAATTTAGTATATATATACCAATTCGGGCGCTCCGAAAGTATTCGTACCAAGATGACGCACAATCTGAACAATTCTAACACGGTACACATATTATGTTCAGGTCGTGCGCCATCTTAGAGCACCCCAATTCCATTGCCAACAAAATTATTTTATCAATAGTAATACTAGGCATTTCAAGTACAGTGCTTTACAAAATTATAAGACCCACCGTAAGCTTACAGTAATCAACAAAAAGATAAATAGAAAGAAAATATGAAGAAGGACTAACATGTTTAATCCTTGTTATAATCTTCATTGCATTGCTCTAGGGCTGATTATGATTAAAAAATAAATACTCTATACCAGCGGTTCCCAAACTATGGGTCGCGACCAACTGGTAGGTCGCAAAAGGAATCTTAGTGGGTCGTAAAAAGATGAAGAAAGTTTTGATTAATTATACTAGTTATTAGGATCGGTGGCGACTTGAATACGTAAATCTTCAAAAAACAAAATAAATTAAATTGAATTTAAATTCTAATCTGTGAAAGTTTCCTTTTTACAATCTTCTCAAAGGGACAAAATTTGCTATACAAAGGATGACTATGTGGCTTTTTTACGCATAGCAGTTTTGTACAGCACTTCTTACCGTGTTTCCCCAAAATTTAGACAGGATTAAGATTTATTTTTTTTGAAGAATAACACCATGGTTTTTATTGGAAGAGGTCTTTCGTGCTCATTTATCAAAAATAAAATTACATTGTAGAAAATCACGAGATTTTTCAAAAACATTATATAAAACCGACATTCAATGTTTTTATTTGTATTTCCTATACAAAAATTAAGTGACAAATATCATAATTGTGATTGTGACATCACACAATCTTGAATAATGATGATCTTCACCTTACTTCAGGTCATTGAACCTTTCCTCTCCCACAGATTTTAAATTTATTTTAGGGGTAGGGTTTAATTAAAATCATTTTGAAAACTCAAATTAGGTCTTATTTTCAGGCCAGGTCCTATTTTCGAGGAAATACGGTAGTTTTGCAATGATTAGCCATTGCTGTGTTCTGTGTTATGACATAAAAAGTTAAATGGGTCGCCATAAGCTGTGGTAATAAATAGTGGGTCCCAACTCTAAAAAGTTTGTGAACCACTGCTCTATACACATTACTATGCCTCTAATTATATTAACCGCGTCAAGAGTGACAAACAGAACAAACTCTGTACTTCTGTTGTTGCCTGGAAAACGATACTATCTTATGCCTGTACCTTCCCTTAACGCAAATAATATTAATTGCAAAGGAAAATGTATTTATGCCTATCTAAATCGTACGATTGACGTAAAGCTTGTAAAAGATTATGCCTCGCTGATTAACAAATAAATACGCTCAGACTGTGAAGCAAACTTAATATAAATGTCTGGTACCATTATTATTAGTGTATTTAAGTTAATCCTTCGTCCGGTACTTTACATTGGAGCGTTTTCGCCTGCGGGGCATACTAGGCCCCAGTTTTGAATTGCGTAAGTCTGTTTATGGTAAAATTATCAACTGTAACCAACGGATTTAACACCAGACCAAAGATAGACGACGATATCGTGATATATTATCGATAATGGGTGATTGATCTACTACTTTTATCCTCAGTTAATGACGCCTGGAAATATACGGTTCATGCATGACTGTCAACAGATTACTAAATGATAAACAGATTCTTTCATGGTCAAGTTCGAGACTCTGATTATGCCAATAATTGGGACTATAATTAAATCATCAATCTTTCACATGTGGCAATTAGTGGGGTTTAAAAAATTGAACATTGATTATCGCATTATGTTAAAAATACAAATCACCGATTCATGGCTCAAGCTCAAAGCTATACGATTAAAAATAATTGGAAATTACAGAAAATGTAATTTCCTATGACTTGAGTTGATATAATAAAACTGTATCAAAAGGTTGCCTATTATCAACAGGGAAAGGACTCGGAATTATCTATTATTTTATTTCGCGATAATTCAACACTAATGTTACACTAATCTGGAATTTAAATTTACAAAATGGACGAAGTTAAACTTTTGTGATAGCATCCAGTTTCATTGTTTTTGTACAATTTAGTATTCCAAGGAAGAGGGTAGTATAACTTCTTTAGCAAATTAGTATACACCTACTAAAGTCATCGTCAAGGACTTACTGTGCGGCGTGCGCTTTTGTTAACCTTGGCAAATGCGAATGCGCATTTATGCCGCATTGAGGGAAAATAACTTCCGATTCTCGGTTTAAAATTTCGACTCCCAACTCAAACTACAGAAAACGAGAAAATCTGCGCATGCAAGCCTTCAATATACTGTTGAAAACGCTTAGTGAACTTGATGCTTGTCGATCAAGTTTTTCGCCTCCGACTTCTACGCCATATAGCTTGGTTTATGTGGTATTTTTTACAATCGTTAGGTGACAGCAAATTTCGTTTTCTGTATCATTTTCCCTTCTTCGTTTATTCTTAAGTTTAAACTGGTTCCACTTTCTTGAAATATGTATTTCACACAAGAAGTACTAAAAAATTGTACTAATTTATTCTCAGTTATTTACCTTATATTTTCGTTATTTCGTATTTCCCTCATTAAATTTTAAAGAAATATAATTGTCTTTTAGCGTAACTTTCTCTCAACGTTGTGCTATTTGCTTTGCGCTATTTAAAATCTTTGTTGGAAATATTCTTAATTCTGAATCGCTCGGAGTTCAATATATCACCCAGTAATAAGTTGCCAAATGTTCATATATTGTAAACGTTGTGCAATAAAATTATACAATTTATTGAATATATCACTTATGAATAAGTTGAATAATCCAATAGTAAATTTGTTTCAGAGCGAATTTGTTTTCAAAGAAAAACTGGTTCACGTGAGGTGGTATTGAGACCAAGTCACCGAAAACAGAAAACAGATGCAGAACAGAAACGACTGTAAAACCACATTAACCATTATATTGATTGCAATCAACAATGGGCCGATTGGTCTTTTGGTCGTAGAATTCAGGAGGACATCCAGGGCACCGGACTCGACAATGAGCTGTGGGATACTTTGGACAAGAAGCAACAAGGCATCCTCTGCTACAAAGACCAACCGCGTTTATTCCAGGCTGACAAGTTGCTAAATATAAAATATAATACAGTTATAAAACCAGATTCGAAAAAATATATTATAAATAGAAATGAACAAATTGCACAATAGCACAAAATATTGAAATCTTTTCAATCATTTGAGCATTATTTCAAGAACGAAACGTTACCAAATGCATTCATCTTTTAACACTCTATTGTGGTTTAATTTAATAATGTTGCATGGGTACGCAAAGTCAACTTAAACATTTGCCGAATTAGGAGACAATACAATAATAGTTTTATCCTAAAGTTGACGTTGGGTTGGTTATATTATAAGAGTAAAAATATATTAACTATTAAAAATTTTATGTAAAGTTTTCTGATTACCGCTGAATACATCTGTAATTTTATGCAAAAAATACAATTGTAACAACTGCGTGGGCGGAAAAGCATACTTCGTCATTTGAAGTCAAGTCAAAACAGATAAGTTATATATAATGGAGGATATTTGTATATACTGGTTCCAATAACTTTAAGTTGAGACGAAGACAAAATAAATACCTTTTTCTCTGCACTGTACTCTTCGTCCAAATCGATCGAAAAACTGTAAATAGCATGTTGGTCCGCAACCGTACACACGACACTGAGCTTGTGGGAAGTTTGCACATCCAACTCCGTTACACATATATCCAGCACAATTTGGGTTTGGTGGAGTGTGAGGTGGACAACCACCTGAGCAGTTACAATATGACAAAGTAAGCTAAAGTAGTTACAGAATTGCACTGAACACAAATATATTTTACAGACATAAAACATTTCCCACGGCTTCATAGGCTGGACTGACGGAAAAAAAGATAATCATAATTTATTATTTTTTTTTATATAATGATAAATTATCTTTAGTAGAATTGGTTGGAATGAGCGAACCGGGAACTTGTATATTTGAGGATAAGATAAAAACAAGATAATTTATTTTAAAGAATTTATTCTGAGCCATGGTATAAGAAAATGACAACACACAGGACCAAATTTCAGCTATAATTGATGTCACGTTTGTGGGAGTGTCGTCACAAATGCAATCATGCAAAGCTAACGTACATAAATCCATTAGAAATAACTCTTTATACAAATAAAATAAGTTAGAAAAACATAAAAACCAGTCACTTACAATGAATACTTTCTTTCTTATTATAGGGGTTATAGTAATGTGCTGTACATCCATTGCAGCCTGTTCCACAAAACGCATTGAGATATCTTGGACAAGTTGAATAATAACATGCATTAAAATTTCTATCACATCTTGGGCATACTGGTCCGGGGCGCTTCATGGAAGAAGCCAGCAATAGACCAAGCAATGCATTCTTATCTAAATCTGAAATTTATAAAAAAGAAATATGTTATAATTCAGTTAGAATTTATATTATTATATCTATTTATTTTCATAAACCTAGTTTCGCTTGGCTCGATTAACTAGGGTTAACACAAAATAAACTCAAAGGTTAGTTCGCAGGGGAAATGAATCGGATGAATTTGAATCCAAACTTTATGTGAAGTGTGTGGTGTATACATATGAGATCACCTCGTATATGAGGTAATTCAGAGACATTTTAACTTGCGTTGTTTTATCTGAAAGCTTGGTACCTTTGGCTCTTAAATCAAAGTTTAGCTGCTATGCATCATCATAATCATGATAATAATATTAATGAGTGGCAAGAGAGTTGGAAGACATAGGATTTTCAGTAAATATATATACCATTGGTGAAATATAATTGCTCTTTAGTCTCCGATGCAATATTGTTTACATACATAAATTTAATTTAAGTCTCAAAAACTACATCAATTTAAAAAAATGATTGAGCATTTATTTAAAAAAAAATTGAGCACAATCAAATCAGATTAACGTTTCTGTGTTGCGAGCCATTTTCAATTGCATTTTATAGTGAAGAACACAAAAAGATAAATACCGAATTGACGTTTTACTTACTGAGTAAGGGCTTTTTGGAAGAAACCTTGATTTTTTTGCATGTAAGTCCACACGAACTTTGACAACAAACTTCGGATTCATCACAGTCAAGATTGTTGTTACAATTATCAGCACAAGCTAGAGGATCGACTGCATCTTCACATTTGGGATCAAACACTGCAAAACCACACATTAAGTAGGCTAATTACTGTGGTTTATTTTTACAACATATTAAAAAATAGAACTGTACATGAAGAGTATAGTATCAAATAACGAATGGAATTTCAAAGTGAAATGGGAAGAGTGATATAGGCTATCCGGTAGCAACTTCTTCAATGCATTCAGACACAGAGATAAATACATTGAAAAATATTTATTGACAAAAAGGTTACGACATGATTCTTTTACCAAAGCAAGGTAATTTTTCAGAAATGTTTTTGTTTCTCTAAACAAATAACGACTCTGACCACCACTGACAAGAGATGTAACCCAAGCAACTTCAGTGTGGAAGCGCAAAATGCCAATAATTAATACCATATGAGATTATAATTAGAATAAACATCAAATAGATCGAGTCAACCCACTATGACAAAAACATTATCTTGGACCTTGCTAAACATTATTCCAATGAAGGTTGTAAGGATACCTACGTCTTACTTCCAGATCTTAAGATGACTGACTCCGAAAAGCATATTTCTTCAATTCATACACAAATGAAATAAAATTGCCCTGTATGCTGGAACCCCGGGCCAAGTTATTAGTAAATTAGCATAGTACTTACTCTTGCATTCTGGTACTGGATTAGACCATTCTCCGCTGGCTAAACAGGTTATCTCTTCAGCTCCATAGAGTGTGAGTGGAAAACTGCACGTGAACCTTTTCAAAAACAATACACATTGGTTGTAGTCGTGGATTGCTTTCACAGTGCTTATTAGTAATTACATAACGCGAGTTGGTAGGCTTTGAAAACTATTTGTATTTGATCACTCACCTTTATCCAAAATGCAATTTGAATTGGAAATACAAAATACGAATATTGGGTTTCGTGATAGAAACATAAAACATCTATATTATCAGAATCAACACCAGCTGTTAACTAAATTCAATTTAAATAATAGATTATATTAATCAATTTGAAAAAGAAATTTGTTTTACAATCGATGCGTAATAGAGAATAGATTACAAAATTGTTTTTTGTAATACCATTCTTAAAAAATAATATGATTAAATGATTGTATTTTAAAAATTGTTCCACATATATATATGCATTCACACAAGTTTCTAATTTCTCAAATAGTTGGTTCTGTATTTATGTAGTCATCCATACATACAAAAATCTGTAAACATTGTGACGAATTCTGTATAATTGTTAATCAATTTTGAATTAAGAAATGAAATCAAGCTTGTCTCAATGAAATGCAAGCCTAACAAAGTCGTGATATTTGCCTAATATCTTGAAAATTTGAAAGGTGTCGAAAGCAATAATCCACAAAAACGACGAGACAATGCGTTAATTTATACTTACATGCACGTGCTGCTATATTCGTTTTTTTCTGTGCACTTAACAGTTCCATCATCAAAAGACAGGGATGAACAAAAAACGTCTAAAACCAATCTCGATTACTATAATAATTTGCTTTGTTATCTTTTATCTATACATAATTTTCTTTGTTGTTCATTACACCAATTGGTTTTATGATTCTATGGAGAGCTCATATGTATTTTAATTCAATCACTTCTATGATTGTCGGATTGATGATATATCGTAATTGTTCAGACATAAGCATAGTAAGGAGTAAGGGGTTACGAAGCTTTTATCAACCTATTTAACACTAAAAAATAAAGAACATGTATATAAATACCCTTGCATGTCGGTACAATACCATCCCATTCTTCACTTTCCTGGCATTTCAAAACTGCCTTTCCCGTCAAATCGTATCCATCGTCACAAGTAAAACTTGAACAAATAAAATCAATAAAATATTAAAAAAAGAAATAATTATTTTTGGATACAGAGCAAAACTATAGCCTATTTTGTTAGGTAGTTTAACTAAAATAATAATGTTTCTGTTACTTACCTACAAGTACTATCATAACCAAGATCAGGGGGGTCACAATAAATTGTTCCAGGTTGATTGCTAAAATCGAGAGCGCCGCACTTGATTTCTGATAAAGTAAAGGGGGGGGGTATTGGAATATGTTATTCCTAACCCTCACCTGGCTACGTCATCCAAAGATTACGTCACTACGACGTCACAATCACGCCATAGAGCTTGCCAAAAAAGGCATGCCATTGCTCGAAATGGCATCTCCGCCGACAATAACGCACTCGCTAACGCTAGCGATATCTTATATCGGGCTCGTTACGCGGAAAACGAGAGAAATAGCTTGCTTGATTTCGAGTTGTTCGTCTGCGCATTTTGTACGATGATTCGTATACTTTGACGAACCTTATTTCGTCACTGTGACGTTGAGGTGATTTAATTTTTTGGATGACGTAATCAGGTGGAGGTTAGAAATGACATATGCGAAAATGGTTATGCCACGCCAACTAGAACTACTTCACGGCATTTAGTAAACTAGCCCCGTATATTATAATGCCAGATGTCCGCAAAATTGTAAATTTGCACAATCGAATTGAATCCAAACTGATATATTGAAATATACAATTGAACCTCATTAATACAGTTATACGGTCGAAATTCAAAAACATTAATCCACACAAAACTTGAAAAATCTTATATTTTAACTCCCGGACGTAAACCCGGAAACACGTAGCAAATTGCTCGATACAATAAACGTATTGCCCAGGCTTTTCGCTTGTCGCGATAGTCTTTACCAAGGAAATTGGGCGCTGAATATTGAACTTAAATACTATTAATACAAATGGGTTAAATAACATTATAGTGCATAGTTATATCCACATTCGCTACACTACAGAATTTGTTATAACAGCAATGCACTCAGGTAACTGGATATCAACCCACTAATACCTAATATAGAGTTTTTGATTTTAGAAAATTGCAATGCAAGATTATTTAAATTAAAACCAGGCTTACTAGAGCATTCCAGGGGAGGTTGGCTCCATTCTCCATCGAACATACATTCCGAATTAGATTGCTTTGGTTTGTAACCCACGTCACACACGACACTGAGTACAAAAAAGTATTATTTTATGTTTGCAGAAATACAATCTAATTATTTCATCCAAAATGTTAGTTCTAGTACGCAGTGAGATGTCTGATACTCAACAATTTTTTCAAAGAAATATCGACATAGTTACATAAATAGACCTAATCATAGAAGCGTTATGATTCTTTCACTAATATAAAATTGAATATGCTAATTATGTATAGATTGTCTGGCAAAATTTCTGGCATAATTAATTCCAATGTCTAAATAAAGGGTCATCATTAAGAAGAGTAAAACTATATTATTAAGGAAGACACGTACTGAAAGTGCCTATTATAAAATTTTGAAATTTAGTATATACCAATTCCGGCGCTCCGGAAGTATTCGTACCAAGATGACGCACAATCTGCACAACCCTAACACGGTACACATACTATGTTCAGGTCGTGCGCCATCTTGGTACGAATACTTCGGGAGCACCACAATTCCATTACCAACAAAATTATTTTATCAATAGTAATACTATAGGCATTTCAAGTGCAGTGCTTTACAAAATTATAAGACCCACCGTAAGCTTACAGTAATCAACAAAAAGATAAATAGAAATAAAATACGAAGAAGGAGTAACATAATAAATTTAAAGCAACCTGCAAACTTTTTCGTATGTTGTACCATCATCGCAGGATGCGCTGCCACCTTCTACTTCTTCGTATGGACCACAATCGATAGCTAAAAACAATGAAACGGCATCTATGTATTCTATTATAATTGATGTTGTGTAACACAGGATAGTTGGATATTGCAGTTTTGTCGACGGTACTACTTGCAACGGCGAATTCGTTGAATACTTTTCTTGCCTAATCTCTCATAAACAAAGAATATTCTTCATAGCAAAATCACGAATCAAAGTAAAATGATGTGTTGATGTGCGCGGCAATGAGTAAGTTACCCTTTCCAGACTTGTTAACCCAAGCACCTACAATTACTATTTACGGCATATGTTAAAATTTTCTACTTACGGTCACACGAAGATGGCATACTGCCGGACCATTCTTTGTCCAATTCACATGTCATTGTCAGCCCAGGTACGTCAGGTTTGTAACCCACAGGGCACTCGAAACTAGTGAAAGAATAAAAAAATTTATAAAGAAGATATCTCCACCAGTAAGTACTATACTGTAGTTACTAACAAAGCATGTTCGTTTATTCCGTGTAAATTGAAAGCTCGTATCGTGATATAGGCTAGAACAGGGTGGTCCAAGCCCAGGCCCGCATCACATTTGCTGGTATAGGTAACAATTGGTGATAACCAAAAAATCTTCTGACACATTGTCGCGCCATTAACGTCGTTTAATTTACTTGTGACATGAAAAGAGGAGCCAGTCAGTCAGTTGAATGACTTTAAACTTGCACAAATAAAATTCTATCTTCTGCCTCGGGAAAATGAGGTAACAATATTCCAATAGCATACATAGAAAACTAAATATCAGCCTTTTAGCCTACTCCCTGTCGCATTGTGTCTCGAGTTAGATTGTTAACACTGCGGTTAGTTATTTTAAACGGCCAACATAATTGTTGATTTTAAATTATGGATTAATGATTAGTTCGAACATTTGACTGATTACTTTTGGTGTGTTTACGTATGGTTCACTGCATAGCCATTTTTTGCCGATTACTTAATTACTTCTTATGTTTAACTGTCTAGTACTTCAGTCTGTGTTTAGATCTGTTCACAAAAACTTGTTATTGGTGCTATTGTCATTGGGTGTGAATAATCTGTTTCTTAAGTTTCTTACATTGGGGTTATCAGTTCTGACAAAGTCGCATTTAAATGTAAGTGAATTGGTATATTCTTGCTTTGAATTATGCCTGGTTGCGTGTGTTTTTTTTAATAGTCATCTTTATTGTTTGTCAGGCCAGTTTGTCTTACTGATATCTGGATTAAATCAATTTGGGAGAAATCTATTCGTTTAATGTCGGGATATTAGTTAAAGAGACATAGTGGGCAAGGGTGATTGGTCAATGGGCAGAAATCCAAGTTAATGATAAATAATAATCAAATGTCTTGGGACTAATGTGGCCCGCGAACAACACAGAATTAATATTGTGGCCCCTGTCATAGACAATTTTGGAACACCCTGGCTAGGATAGGAAAATTCCTTCACTAAAAATGTATTCATTATTCTGAACTGTAACACGTTGATGTATATGTCAATTTCAAAGTTTGGTTGAGATTCCTACTTAAGTGTTTAACATTATTATTTACCTTGGGAAGTTAATCAGACTATTATAAAAATAGTGGCAACCAATAACCGTATTTCGGCGCTCCAGAAGTATGTGTACCAAAATGGAGGTAACTAATTTTGTTCGCCTACTTCACATCAAGTTGTGTAACGGAAGACTATGGATATGGGGTATATTCATCTGACTAACACGAACAGTCCCCGTACTCGTATTAAAACTAAAATAAGGAAAATCGGAATAAAACTATGCCCTAACCCAAACCTGGTACATATACTACGAGAGTACTCGTATTTCTATCCAAAATATAGAGATGAAAATGATAGATGATAAATTTTAAGATCAATTTGAACCGCAGCTTTACTGGTAGAAAAATCAGCATTAAGAAATTTTATCTTTTAATACTGGCCAAAGCTAGTAACATTAAATATGTCACCTGCACGTTGTCTCGTAATCATAGTTGTTTGGTTCACAAACAACGCTTCCACCAGGAAACGTCAGTGACTGGCACATCCTGGCTGTAAATGAGAATTCACAATAGATTAACGTCAACGAAATTTAGATTTATATGTAGATTAAACCATACATCGGAATGAGCGATCGGAATAAATATTATACTTAATGTTAACCAGCGCATTACTTTTTATTTGTGCAATGGAAATTTTTTCGTTCATAAAATTTTTCATATACGTTACACAAATAAGTGCGGTTCATCTCATATACACAAAACTGATGTCCTCGTTAGTGTTATTGGCGCTAATGTAGCATCATTAAAGCAAAGCAATATGCCAACACGCAAATTGAATACGGTAATGTAGCATCATTAAAGCAAAGCAATATGCCAACACGCAAATTGAATACGGTAATGTAGCATCATTAAAGCAAAGCAATATGCCAACACGCAATGTGAATACCTTCACACGTAGGTACAGATGCAGACCATTGCCCATCTTCTTGGCAAATAATAATACGTTCGCCTGACACTATTTCTTCTCCTTCAGGGCATTTGAAACTAAAGAATAGTTGATTATCATATATATATAAATATACTGAAATGATATTTGGATCTGGATTACAGTTTGTGCAGAAACAAATGTGAAGTTGGGTCAATGTATCAAAATATGTGCATTTCTCATATTCTTTTAAATAACGGGTGGTTCGAAGCAAAGTTCAAAACTATCAAATGGGAGTGCAAATAAACACTATAATAAATAACTCACGTGCATGCATGAGGATGAGGGACTGGGGGGCCCGCCGTACAAGTTATTTCGCCTGCAAAGGTCAAATCCTCGCATATGGCTGAAAATGAAGAGTTTTTTTAGTTGCTTTTCTGGAAATTCAACCAAAATGATATGAGAAATAAAATAGAGTAGTAAATAAACATTTTCAATAAAGTATTGTATACTTCACATCGTGTATGCATGGATATTTACTCAAACACACAAAATTAGAAGTGTGATACGATTTTTCCGAGTGTTGTTTACCCTTTTGTTTTTCTGTTTGTTTTTGTGATTTGATTATTGCTGGATAATAATGATTTCCGCCGAACGTAAAGGTAGGGAAGCATCGTCTGCCACTGTGACAGGCAGAATCGTTTTTGTGTTTTGTCTGGGAAGGTTCTGTTCGAGTTATTATTGTCCACTTTGAGTTGTATTTCTGATATTTGACAATTAAAGCCGCAGTCGAACCTCGGAACCTCTAATTTTAGCGTAGTGGATGCTTTTAAAAGATAGAAGGAAAAAGCTGCGTCAGAAGCAGCAGCAATTTAATTGCAGTTTTCTTTCAAACAATTCGTATTTGGTAATGGAACTTTGAGATACTGAAACAAGGAAATGGTTTCAAAACCTCATTAGATTTATCTACAATAGACAAGGGCAACTTTTATTCTTCAATATCAGGATTAAAAAAAACAAATGGTAGAACCGAATACCAACGTCTAAAGCAAAATCTTTACGTTCACAAGCTGTTGGTAGTACACTGTCCCATTTCTTATCTTGCTGACAAGTTACAACTGTATCACCGTTTGCTTGATATCCTGCAGAACACTTTGTTCTGTATATAATTAAACGTTTGCTCTGATAAAAATTACAATTGGATATATCAAAATATAATACATTTTCAAGCAAAAATAATAATTCGAATTTTTTAACCTCCAAATTAAAGTATTTCGAATGAACACGAATTAATTTAGTTCTCATAATATAGGCCGTTAATTTGCAGGTAGATTTCTGTTTGAAAAGTATTCGGATCTTACCCAATTGAGCAAAAAAATTTATAAGCAAATTGCAGATTGAAAAGAAAATGTAATGACTTCATGACAGAATAATAATTGATTGATAAAAAAGATTGTCATTCAAATTATTTTGTGGAATATTTTTCTGATTATTAATAAAACTCACGTGCAAATGCTAGTGTATTTGTTTTCATTGTCACAGGATCGTGTTCCGAATTCATCATCAAAACTTGGAAATGGAGTACACTCAATTGCTAAAACATATAAACCATGGAGTTAAAAGCTGAAATGTCAACATACATGATTTACTAACAAATCTTCACAAAAGTCAGTATTACCACATCATGTTTGGTACAGAGTGTAAAGAAACATTCAACTTTAAATCGTTCTATGTTTGTGGTAGTTATATTTCAGTTCAACTCATTATATAAGTTCATTTCATTTTTATAAATGTGATTAATTTACACTTATTGTAGTAAAACTACATACGGTTGCATCCAGGGGGCTTTCCGTCCCAATATGCTTTACTGGATGGGCCGATACACTCGATGCTTGTTAGTCCATCGAGCAAATAACCGTCTGAACAGGTGTATCTATAAAACGACAACACATACATTTTCGTAGCCACTATATAATACTGAGTTTACCAATCTAAATACTTGTTCATGGTGAAAAATACCTTCAAATATCACAGAACATCATTTTAAGACAAAGAGTATTAGTGGAGTTGGTTATTGCTGTTATTGCGTTAATAATGAAGATGGGGGTATGCATCTGCAATACCCTAAATATTATCTCTTTTTAACAGATTTCAGAGCCTGTTTGTCTGACTTGTCAATTGATATGAATTTTGCAATATGTATAATAAAAATTTAAATGTTTTTATGGACGGTACATTTACAGTTTCATTCTGGAATCCTATATTGGAGTAAAAAATTAAAAAAGGAATAAAGTAGTTTTCAAAAATAAAAATTCATCTAACGTGAAAATAATGAAAGCAGAAAAATCAACAATAAATGCTCTCAAAAGTAGACATGAGACAGACCATAATGTTTTAGTAAAATGGGATCAGAAATTGCTGGTGAACAATGCCTGCAACAACAATGCGCGTCTAACCATACTTCATCGAACTAAAATACACTCACGAGCAGACACTCCTGTGAAAGTAAGATCTGGTACAATCTTCAATGAGTCCCGGTTTTGAATATCCAGTTGGTGAACAATGATGTCCTGGATAAATTGATAAATTTGCATGTAAATTGAATATTAATATTTCATAATTTTTTTCGACTTTCTGTGACATCTGGTCAATTTTAAATATTAAAAAGTATAATGCATATGGCTTCTAGGGCAAAAGTAGCAGACAGATCAAGTGTAAAATAGTGGGTGCAGGCCTTGATCGAAGAAAACGAATCGAATACAGTATGGTTAAATGATAAATAGGAAACCACTAAATCTCAGCTGTTGCTAAATGTTAGATTATTGAACAAAAAATGTAGACCTATGGATCCTTTTATAAAATTGTTAGTGTGGTTTATCATGTCTTTGTTAGTTTTTAAACTGATAATGATAAAATCATTTTTATGTCAAACTGTCAGTTTGAAGTACTCAAATTGAACGTGTTTTGATTTATATGACAGATGCGTAACTCAAGTGTCGAGTATATTTCAGGACTACCAGTCACAATTATCCACCTAAATATGGATAACAAAATCATTATTTTCAATACCGCTCACCTTGGGGTATCGCGCTGAGATATTTAGATGTACTTTTCGAATATTATAGAAAAATAAATTATAATATAATATGATTTGAAGATCGGATTTTGTTTAATATGTCATCAATTTTTTAGTAATTTTGCTCAAACCCTAATATACTACCAGCTATTAATGAGAAAAAAAGAAGCGAATATATATGCCAGTTTTTATAAAAAGATTTTTCTTACAAATTTTTATAAATTCCACAAATACAGTTGTGAATTCTCGGTAACGATTTTAGCTATATTAATGGTTGTGGTAATGTTTTGTTGGAAAATCACATGAAAAAACGTAAAAATCAATCAGATGTAATCAGTTATTAACCCTCTACTATGGTAGTTTACTTTAGACACAACATCTCTCAAGATCGAGTTTTTTTTTCAAATTTTGGGGCATTAGGTCGCATAAGTAGACTATTATTGAAGAATTACTTTTTAAAGTTATATACCCAAATAGAACACTAGCACACGTTTTAAACAATCCATGAGTGAAGATTTAGGGACGAAAAAATTTGAAATGACTTATGCAAAATGACCTCAGGAAAGAAAGCGCCCGAGAGGAGTTTTACAATTAGAAACTGCTAATACGTGTTTTATGGTGGAAATGTTTGAGTTTAACTCGAGGCCATATCACCATCAGGTTATAAAGAATAAAAGGTCAAAATTAGTTCAAGGCAATTTCCACTCATTTAGTGACGCCATACAATCAAATATTCACCATTCAAATACCCGATTTTATTTATTTCTAATATTTTCTTGAGGCAAGGTTTTTGTGTATATCTAACTTTTCGAAATGATACTACTACTTTAAAACTACACAATTCAAAAGTACTGCTGCATACTAAAAACAAATTAATTTCTGTAACGTTTTGTCTGACTAAAATTAGACTTCCTCAGACAAGCAGTTTACAACAATGACAAGAAAAGAATAATCATGCGGTTCAATTTGATTTAAACATTATGCATGATATGCATACAAATCCACTAGTGCAAAGGCACTGAGAAATAAATGGAAGTTATAGTCGCGCGCAACCTCTACTACTACTTTAAAAAACTGCAGTTTGAATCGGGTCAATTGAATGTTTTTGCAAAAGCAGCCTACAACCCCATCGCTCAATGTCCGGACCAGACAAGGCTAAAAAATCAGTCAAATTAGTACTCATATCTCATTTAGTAACTTTCGCTTTATTTTTCACCTCAGTCTCAAAAATACTGTAATGAACATTAAACTAGGGGATTATACATTTTGTCATTCATCTGCAACATAATCTTATAACATGTAAACAAGTTGTAACTTGTCCACTGGAGCAATACAAATTAACTAGTGGAATATTAGACATTTGTTTAGCATGAGCTTCTTCTACCATTTAACCCGCTGACCAGTGGCTCTAATATATATTACGCGATACCACACAAAAACACTCAATGTCGTACACAGCTATAAAAATCCAGCACCACTCGGCATTTTAGCGCTATATGAATCATTTTCGAGCATTTCACGGGGAAGATGTTTTTCACGTGTGATTGGTGATAAATCAACCTTTTATATCAGGAAAAAGATTTTTTGCGCAAGGTGTCATATCACGTTATCCAGTTCTCCGAAAATAGCATATTCAAAACAAAACCAATAAAACTTGCCTTAAAACAATAGTTTTTGAACCTATCTGTGACGACCACTAAAATGAGCAAGAACTAAAGAAACCGAAGAGAATTATGATGGTGCACACCGTAATGGTAAATGCCTGTATGGACGAGCAAAATCCGTCTAAATGCGGGCTTGTTCATCTATAGATGCCCAGGTAATTATCTATACCGAGAGGAGCTAATGGCTGATAATCAATACCAGGTAATACAAGAATTAACCTAATAGCATTGCAATCAAGCAATTCATTGCTTCTAAAATCAATATCGAAATAACAAAAACAAATTTGTGTAGTAGCATATTCCAATCCATATATTATAAAAAATTTTTAGAACGTGTTTTTTTTTAAATGGATGAGATCATTTACGTATTTAAAAAAAAGTGCATTGCCACAATTGAACTAACTAAATACCAACCTTCTGTTGGATGCAAAATTAAAGCAATCAAAACGTAGGACACTTCCCAGAACTTCTTCTCCATGATATTAGCCTATATCATGCTCGTTATCAACTGAGACGTCGTTTATAAACTCTATTATAATGCCAAAAAAATTTCTTCCATGTGTATTTTGCTTCAGGCAAATCCAAAAATATGTGGATTTCATTAGAATTTCTCATGGGAAACGTGAAAAACATAGGTAATTTTTGTACATGGAAGACATGGAAGAATTTATTTGTCATTAGAACATATATATCACTCATTTGGTTTTCTGTAGAAGCGCACTTCCGGCTGTCAGGACATGTCAATAGCAAAAATAGTGTTTACTGCGGCACAGCACATATAAAAGAAGTCTTACAGAAACTTTTACACTCAGTAAAGTGCACGACATTTGTAGCCATTTCCAAACATGGCGTAATCGGTCTGTATTGATTTGAAGGCAAAAATGGAAAGCCCGAAGCCCCGAACAGTGAATATGGAACGCTGCGCGATGGTTCTGTGGAAGTTCTGGACAACACTTGGACCACTTGGACGAAGGATTTATCAAAATGACCAGTTATTTCAAAAAGATGGTTCATATGATGTTGTATGTTATAAAAAAAAATACGGTGCACTTTGCGGTATTGAGTGGTATTATAACGATATTTACAGACGTTCTCAATTTTCATTCTTTGGAATAATGTAACAGTTTTGAATCAAAATTTAATTGATTACAGGTAATTAAATATCCCATAGGCTGCCCTTTTTCATTCTAGTGGCATGATTTGAAAATATATTCATGTCATAAAAATATGTTATTAAAATCTATATTTAAAATTAAATTGAATTTTTTTAATGTGAAAAGTATTTAAATTTAATTATAACTGGCGAATAATAATATACAATGTTTCGAAACTTAAATAAGTGCTTTGAAATCACATACTGCTGTTTTTCGTATGTCTAATTTGTAAGAAATTTTATAGTCGTAGGCGCTGACAAGGTACATACATTACTTACACGGATCGTAGAAACTTGACAATGTAACACTATCAGACAAACCACATCCTTTAAATTCGTTTGTAATAGTATATGGCACAGGAAGTGTATACTATTATAATAGCAGTAGTGCATCCTGGCTCGAATTAATTAGATTTAAACGGGATTAATTAGAAACTTCGCCTACTATACCCGATAAACAACGATATTGTACAATTGTCATCTCAGTGTTTTTGTTTTAATTCCAACTATCAATTTTGCTTCGTAGAACCGCGGTATTGATGTTTCAAAAGTGTGTTAAACCCCTAATTAAACGTAACAAGTGCCTTAACAATCATTTTGTTCCAGTATAAGAGTCCGATGGTGCCTGTTCAATGATACTAACTTGTTACAGGTATTTTGCTGTCACTAATGAAAAAATGCGAGTGAGTCAAATGATAAATAATGAAATGAAATAAAATGAAAAGCCATGAAATTGTAGGACTTATCGTCGTAACTACCCATACTGGTACTTGCTGGCACTTATACATTCCAGTCATTTCGACGATAAACATTATAGCGTTGGTATAATTCCCCAGACAATTAACGGCAGTGTGCAAAAGAAAACGTAAGTTTACAGTAAACACTTCCGCACTATCGTCGTAACTACCATGCTGGTACTTAGTGGCACTTATATACACCGTTCATTCTGAAGATAAACATTATAGCGTGGGAATAGCTCCGCCAGGCAGTCGTCCCATATGCGTGAACGTCAACTTTGAATTGGCGACAAATGTTCACATAAACAGCCAACAATTTTAGCAGAGATTCACTTCTGTGATAAAAAAAAAAAACTATTTACGACCACATCCGCATTTCGTCATACATTTCAACAAATCTTTTTTTTTCAAATTTTTGACCACAGCAAAAATCCACATTTCCAAAGACATGATGATGCAAATACCCACATTACTTTGATGACTCGGAACCTTCATTGGGTAATATTTGACAGTGCATATCAACATCTGTTTCAAAATGCTCTGAGGAAACAACTGTTAAAAAATTGGTTGGTATCAATGTTTCCAACGCAATAGCCCAGTACTGATGGTGAACTTCTTCATATTTACGCTTATTCTTCTGTTAAACAGTCTTTTTTTCTTTGGACAAACGAGCGTTTTCAATTTTTCAAATCTAATTATATAAGTTTGTGTTAAATGAACGGGGTGGGTTGCACTGCAAAACTTGGATATCAAGAATTGGTTATATATTGAGCAACGGAAAACGACTATTTAAACCAGCAATTCCTAACCTTTATATCCCCGTGGATCGGTAACATCAAATAAAATGACCGGCGATTTGATATAAAATTAAGTGGAACATAAAATAATAAACATATGGTTCAGTATAACGCACTGTAATGTTTTTAACCCCAAAATACATTTAAAGCAACAAATGGTCAATTACACTCAAATATTCACGTAGACGGTGAACAAGAGTGCAAAATTATGAAATATTTGAATGCGTTCGATGATGACGTTTTATAAGAGCGATTCAATTAAGCGTAAGGTTTTGAATACATTTTATATGATTATGTTTACTTTATCTATCATCTGATAGAAGCTGGTAAGGAATGGAGAAAACTTTAGTGTTCAATGGCTAAGCATGATACGTCTGGAACGGGGCTATTAAAATTTATTCGGACGACCCAGCATATAGTAATTGCAAAAGTAAATTAATCTTTTGTACAAAGCAAAAAGTCACTAATGCAAAAAAGTGAGATCTGAAAAAAACAGCCCTGCCACGTTTTTAAATAACAAATTAGTAATTATGAAAATTTGAATATTCAGCGTATATTTGCCAAGAATAGCAATAGTACCAGCACATGCATATCGGGGTCTTATATGAACAATGTTTGAAAACAACTACTCGAATTAATTTTGTCTTATCTCATTCCATCTCCCTTCTTCTAAGCGGCGATTCGCCGACTTATATATTCGACAGCACAGATGGGCCGCCAAAACGTGTCACATCGTTAACACTCATTACTTATCGATTTTAATCGGTAAGTATGTTGATAGGTATATATATGTCTGTCTGTATGTATGTTTGTCTGTTAGTTGCACGCGATATCTCACGAAAGCAATATTGAAGCTGCTCCAGATTTTGCATGTGTATTCATCTTATCTCGGACCAGAAGCCTATTTATTTTGGGCTAATTAAGTCGTATAATTAGCGAGTTATTAACTAATTAGTGATGGAACACAAGGTTTCACTATGGAGTGAGAGCTCTGTTTTGAGGGATCCCCTAACTTTCGATCGATAAGTCTTCGGTCTCTGACCGATATTCTCGTTTTGTTGTCGCCCCATCTGTTTAGTCGATCTAATTAAGGTTGACACTACAGGCTCCACTGTCGCGGCATTCGCACGTTTAAGTGACGTTATATTAAACAACAATAGAGGGTGGCCCACTGATACCAGCAGTGACTCGTCCTTTTATGGTAGATTTTTATAACCGTAAGCTTGGGAAAACATCGACTCCACTTAAGCGAGGCAGGCCATTAGGCCTGATCAAAGTGACTATAAACCAAAGGAGGACATGCATTGGTAACGTTATAAGCGGTCGTGTGACGTCACACCAGCCATTTTGTGTCCAGGGTTCTATCGCTCTATGAACCTAACTAAGTGATTTAAACCTGCGATCGTTAATACAGCTGAATAAAAAAACGATGCTCAATAATTCGAACCAAACTTTGCAGCGGCAAAACGAATGAACATTCTTCTGAAAAATTAATTTTATCAACACCCAATAAGACCAAAATATTAAACAAAAAGATACACATTTTATTATAAAATTATTATGAAATTTCTGATGTAAGTATCGCTACTTGCACAGAACCTATTTTAACAAACTGACATAACTACAATACAAATTATACTACAGAAACTTGCACTATTATTGCGGTACATATCATGATATGCGTATCGCAAATTTTCAACAAGGTGTACATTGCCAAAATAATATTAAAAAAATATACTACATGCATGGAATGTAGAATAACTGCGTATATCAAGTTTACCAGAACATCTAATAATCTGGAGTGTATAAAATAATATATTATCTATTTGACTTGAGCTCTTGCCGCAGGTCTACTAGCATACCGTTTTTCAATAATTTTATTTGTCTCCTCTTTTGCGTGAATATTTAACCTTAAATTGAGGAAACGTTTCAAAATTTTAAAAGCGATATTGTGGCAAGATGAGAAATTATAATTTAAGCAAATTAACTGTCAGAAAAGTAACAGGCGAACATATATTATGAAAGGCATTAATATTGGCGCGAAATATAGTTTATACTTTGCGCAAAATACGATAGCTTTTGTGGATGGGTGGCATAAATATTGGGTTAAACTATTAATTTTCAAATATTTAACATAGTGTAAGACCGAAAAAGAGTTAGTAACGATTGTGGAAATTCATCGGGATTGACACTTGCCATAGAAACAAACAAACAATTTGAACCCCGTGTCTTTATACTAGGGTTCCCCCGGAAACATCAAGGCTAATTTTCCACTGTTGGATATCGATAAAATTACAATTAAGTTTTATCAACGAAAACGTAGAAGACCTGATGGCGTCGCTAGATAACCTAGTGGGTATTTTACATTTTCCGACGCAAAATAATCGAAATATCCTGCCAATAATAAGTTGATAAGAGCTGCACCTTTGTACCTTATAATGTACATGCTTCGATGAAATTAATTAGGCCGCACAATGTGCTAGTCATGAGATCGTTTACATTCTATAACTTTTGGAGCAACTGTTGCAACAGCTCGTTAAATTAGGAAAATTTTTTCCGAGAAAATTCATTTCATCAGCTTCTGGAATGATTAATGCAAAACGCAGGCTTCAAACCTTCGGCATGGTCTGAACAGGTATCATAATACCAGTTCAAATAGTACCTAATTTAAACATATGCATCAAGTTAATGACGTTTCACACTTGCGAGGGAAAGCGATATATATTATATGTGTTTTTCTTTTCATACGGAACGTTGCGAATTGCGTTACGTAATTGCGTAACGAAGTAATTAGGGAACGTTGTTG